CTATCTGATGTATATATAATATGTATATACAAAAAATATATATAATATATATAAAATTTGGATTATTTTGTCTCTTCCATGATGAGTCATGGCGTGCAGAGCATTTAATAATAGAAGATTTAAGGACACAGGAAGAACCAGGTGACCATCTGGGCTGTCCGTGTGTCCATGCTTGACACTGGACTTATATCTTCTTAAATACCAATTTTGTTTCTCCAATTCAGGTGTATAGCGCTGTTTATTAGAAGGGTTATCGTAGGTAATTTGACTTGGACTATGGATTTTATTCAAATTGGGTACTGGCTGATTTAGCATGAAAAGCTGGCAAAGTATTTTCTTGGTATTCAATTAATTTTTGTCCATGGTTAGCCATTTTATAAACCAGTCAATGTTTTATATGTCCAGGTTAGCCATTTTATAAACCAGTCAATGTTTTTGTTAGAGTTCCAGGAATTTTTACCCAGTCCAAATTATATTACACCAAAGTTACCAGAAGCCTATTCGAGAGGGCTTACCAGGGTCATTTCTTTTTTTTTTGTTTGTTTGTTTTTGTTTTTTTACCAGGGTCCTTTCTATCCTTTCAAGAACCTCCTAGAAGACTTAGTATTGTAGGATTGTGCATGCTTGTGAAGAGGTTTCAGAAACGTCAGAAAAAAGCAATTAACTATGGAAATGACTTAAAATGGCCATAGTTAAAGACAGAATTGACAAGGAATTTTGGTTATTTCTCTGGCCAACAATAACTTAACATAACTGTAATTATGAGTGACAGCATGTGCCAAGATGTATCAGAATTTTAGGAATCCCATACAATTTTGGAGCACATATTAATGATGTATTCATAAACAATATCTCAAATAAGGTTAAACATCATTTCTTATTTGGCAGTGCTTCCCATGTAATTTAGTTTATCAAATACTTCTGTCACTCTCTTTTTTGGATACTATAGGGGCCCTTAGTAGCATCCCAAAATTAGTTTGAAGTTGAAAAGATACCTGATTTTACAATTTAAATGTGATTTTGGGAAGCCTGTCAAAAATGTCAAAGATCTAAAACACTCAAGCAAAATAGGTTTACAGGTGACTGTAGAATTGTCATTCTTTTAGCCAAAGTGATATTTCTAAGATTTTAAAAAGCAAAAACCTGTATTCTTTGTTAGAGAAGGGATTCAGTTTTTTACACTGAGAAAGACAGCATGAGACAGAATCTCTTTTCTCTCTCTCTGTCTCTCACAGTTTATTCAAAAGATTAGCAATCATTATTACTATCTCTTACTAATACACATAAAAATTCTTGTTCAGAAGAGAGAAGCAAATTTTACTTTTAGACTAGTATATTTATCAATACTAAAACTAATTTTCATAAAACCTTATAAACAAATCAATCTGGCCGGGGGTGGTGGCTCACGCCTGTAATCCCAGTGCTTTGGGAGGCCGAGGCGGGTGGATCATGAGGTCAAGAGTTCGAGACCAGCCTGGCCAACATGGTGAAACCCTGTCTCTACTAAAAATACAAAAAATTAGCTGGGCGTGGTGGCGGGTGCCTGTCATCCCAGGCACTCGGGATGCTGAGGCAGGAGAATTGCTTGAGCCCGGGAGGCGGAGGTTGCCGTGAGCTGAGATGTGTCTTTGCACTCCAGTCCAGGCAACAGAGCAAGACTTGGTTTCCAAAAAAAAAAAAGTCCATCCAATCTCACTCATCTCGTGACTAAACAAGGTTTTCCTAAGCCTTTTAGAATCTTACATATAATTTTAAAATTTTTCTTCTTAACTTTCTATATTTTTGTTTTACCTGCATCTTTTTATTCCTTTGATTTTTTTTTTTTTTTTTGAGACAGAGTCTTACTCTGTCACCCAGGCTGGAGTGCAATGGCACAATCCTGGCTCACCGCAACGTCTGCCTCCCTGATTCAAGCAATTCTCCTGCCTCAGTCTCCCGAGTAGCTGAGAAAACAGGCAAACACTACCACACCTGGCTAATTTTTGTATTTTCAGTAGAGACGGGGTTTCCCCATGTTGGCCAGGCTGGTCTCCAGCTCCTGACCTCAGGTGATCCAACCTGCCTCGGCCTCCCAAAGTGCTGGGATTACAGGCGTGAGCCACCACGCCCGGCCTATTCTCTCAGTTTGAAATGAGCTTTAAGTAGCTTCAAACTAGAAAAAATGATTTTTAAACACACATTTTTCATGCCTTTATACCTTCTCTCACCAAAAGCATATCTTGATTTTTTATATTTTCTGTATACAGCATTGTTTTTCTTATCTCTATCGTAGTCTTAATTGCAAATGTTAACTACACTTAGGAACCCAAATCCCAGTGAAAACCCTAAGAAATAATTGTGAACTATTTTATATCAGTATTTGTAGAGGAGAACCACTTCATAATTTTTTTAGAAAGATGTTTCTTCAAATATTTGTTTACAGATCTAATACATTTAGTTTTGTTTGTTGTTTAAGATGGCATCTCGTTCTGTCACTCAGGCTGGAGTGCAGTGACCTGATCTCAGCTCACTTCTACCTCTGCCTCCTGAGTTCAAGTGATTCTTCTGCCTCAGCCTCCCGAGTAGCTGGGATTACAGGCACGTGCCACCACGCCGGGGTGCAGGTGTAATTTTTGTATTTTTGGTAGAGACGGGGTTTCACTATGTTTTGCCCAGGCTCGTCTCGAACCCCTGACCTCAGGTAATCTGCCTGCTTTGGCCTCCCAAAGTGCAGGGATTACTTTTTTTTTTTTTGAGACAGTTTCACTCTGTCACCCAAGCTGGAGTGCAGTGGTGCGATCTCAGCTCACCGCAACCTCTGCCTCCTGGGTTCAAGCGATTCTCCTGCCTCAGCCTCCCAAGTTGCTGGGATTACAGGTGCAGGCCACCATGCCTGGCTAATTCTTGTAGTTTTTAGTAGAGCCGGGGTTTCACCATGTTGGCCAGGCTGGTCTGGAACTCCTGACCTCAGGTAATCCATCCCCCTCAGCCTCCCAAAGTGCTGAGATTACAGGCATAAGCCACTGCACCCAGCCTACATTTAGATTTTCTATACATATAAAATAAGATGCCAAAGTATTTAAATCTGAGCTCATGAATCTCACACCTGAAATCCCAGCACTTTGGGAGGCCGAGGTGGGTAGATCACAAGGTCAGGAGTTCAAGACCAGCCTGGCCAATGTGGTGAAACCTCGCCTGTACTTTTTGTAAAAAAACAAAACAAAACAAAACAAAATTGTAAAAAAAATACAAAATTAGCCAGGCATGGTGGCACATGCCTGTAATCCCAGCTACTTGGGAGGCTGAGGCAGGAACTGCCTCCCCCTTGAGCCCAGGAGGTGGAGGTTGTGGTGAGCCAAGTTTGTGCCATTACACATCATCCTGGACGACAAGAGCAAAATTCCATCTCAAAAAAAAAAAAGAGGCAAGATGGAGTCAATTAAGTTGGATGTCTTTCACCATCTCAAAGAGACAGTGCAAAGGCGGTTTCAGCTTTATTTCCTAAATATTATCAGATACATGTAATGCAGAGAGACATATAGTCATAACAGACACAGATAGAAACAGATCTTACAGATTTCACAAAGAATTTTCATTTGCCAGCTTTCAGGTAGTTTTTCTTTTCCCCCTTTAGACAATCAATCTTCTGATTACCTGTTTTATCATACTAAGCAATTGTTAGCTAGGGAACAATTTGCCTTCAAAAAATATAACTCTTAGGTGAAACAAGGCAGAAAATGTATATCTGAAAAGTACAGAGCTGAGACTTTCAGCTTAAATACTGTACCATCATTTGCTCAAATCAAGAAAAAAGCAAGGCCCAGTTAAGACAAGATGGCCAGGAAAAGCACGTTAAACAAACGTGACTTGTTATGTAAATTTAAAACCAAGGTACGTCCCTCCCAGACATTGCAAATGGAAATGTCTTGTGGAGATGTAAATTTCTTTCACAAAATGGTTTCAAGATAGTAGTTGAATGTCAGAAAGGTGCATTTGAGTTATTAGGCTGGTTGAAAAGTAATTGCAAAAACCACAATTACTTTCACCAACCTATGGATAGGTGGTCCTTCTAACTGTAACTACTGTTTCTTAGCTAAAATTACGGAGTACAGGGTGGGGCCCATTAAGGAATAGGGCGGAGAAAGCCTTCCCTCTGCCTGGGCTCAGCGTGGATGGATCTGAAGTAAGCCTGCTGGATCTGAGAGACCTTTTAGAAATCCTTCATCTAGGATAGCGTTCTGTCCGGGATAGTAACCAGGCCAAGAGCCCAGAAGATTCATTTTTTTCTTGTCAACTGGTCACTTAAGCTTTTTATTTGTCTTAATTAATTAATTTACATTTATTATCTTATTTTGTCTTTATCTTATTTGGCAGAGTGTTGCTCTGTCACCCAGGCTGGAGTGCAGTGGTGCCATCACAGCTCACTGCGATTGTCACAGGAGAAGGTCCTGATCCAGACCCAGGCTGGAGTGCAGTGGTGCCATCACAGCTCACTGCGATTGTCACAGGAGAAGGTCCTGATCCAGACCCAGGCTGGAGTGCAGTGGCCCACGCCGCGATGCCAGGGGCCTGCCAGGCTGGGTGGTGCCATCACAGCTCACTGCGATTGTCACAGGAGAAGGTCCTGATCCAGACCCAGGCTGGAGTGCAGTGGTGCCATCACAGCTCACTGCGATTGTCACAGGAGAAGGTCCTGATCCAGACCCAGGCTGGAGTGCAGTGGTGCCATCACAGCTCACTGCGATTGTCACAGGAGAAGGTCCTGATCCAGACCCAGGCTGGAGTGCAGTGGTGCCATCACAGCTCACTGCGATTGTCACAGGAGAAGGTCCTGATCCAGACCCAGGCTGGAGTGCAGTGGTGCCATCACAGCTCACTGCGATTGTCACAGGAGAAGGTCCTGATCCAGACCCAGGCTGGAGTGCAGTGGTGCCATCACAGCTCACTGCGATTGTCACAGGAGAAGGTCCTGATCCAGACCCAGGCTGGAGTGCAGTGGTGCCATCACAGCTCACTGCAGTTGTCACAGGAGAAGGTCCTGATCCAGACCCCAAGAGAGGCTTCTTGGATCCTGTGCAAGAAAGAATTCAGGGTGAGTCCACAGCGCAAAGCAAATACAAGTTTATTAAGAAAGTAAAGGTATAAAGAATGGCTACTCCATGGACCAAGCAGCCCCGAGAGCAGCTGGTTGCCCATTTTTATGGTTATTTCTTGATGATATGCCAAACAAGGGGTGGATTACTCATGCCCCCCCTTTTAGGCCATATAGGGTAACTTCCTGACATTGCCATGGCGTTGGTAAACTGCCATGGCGTTGGTAAACTGGGAGTGTAGCAGTGAGGACGACCAGAGGTCACTCTGGTCACCATCTTGGTTTTGGTAGATTTTAGCCGGCTTCTTTACTGCAACCTGTTTTATCAGCAAGGTTTTTATGACCCGTATCTTGTGCCAACCTCCTGTCTCATCCAGTGACTGAGAATGCCTGACCATCTGGGAATGCAGCCCACTAGGTCTCAGCCTCATTGTTCCCAGCTCCTGTTCAAGATGGTGTCGCTCAGGTTCACACACCTCTGACACAGCCTCTGCCTCCTGCTTCAGCCTCCTAAGCAGCTGGGACTACAGGTGAGTGCTACCGTGCCCGGCTAATTTTTGTTTTGTTTTTTTTCTGTAGAGATGGCAGGGCGACGGGGCAGGGGCTGGAGGGGGCGGGTGCCTCACTGTGTTGCCCAGGCTGGTCTCAAATGCCTGGGCTCCAGCGATCTTCCCACCTTGGCCTCTCAAAGTGCTGGAATTACAGGCGTGGGCCACCTTGCCAGGACTTATTTGCCTTTTGTGCAGACACTTTTAAAATAGGGAATAAATATATTGAAATCATGTTAGAAGCTTCTTCATATCAATCAGCATCCCCGATGGGACTCATTAGGAGGCCTTGTGGTTAGGTGCACTTCTTAAAGTGCAGCGGTGTTCACCTGGAACATCCCACCATAATTTCCATTCACCGTTAGTAAGATGCCACCATTTCTGTAAACATTTGCTGCGTCCGGGACCTAACACGGATGGACGTACAAGCCAGAAGGTACTCGGTTTCTCCGAGACGAAGGATCCCATTTTACATTAAACCTTGGCTTTGGCTCTTAGATCCCCTCGATTAACTTAGCAAAGATTTTTCCCTACCTTAGTGTGCACGAAAAAGAAACCAAGAGAGTAGAACACGAAAATCCTTTTGAGTGTCCAGGCTGGAGTGCGTACCTGCTGCAGTCCTGCCATTTACAGCTAGTTTCTGCCTGACCCAGTCAGACATGCAAGGGCCTCTTACTGGATCCAAGCCAGTGGATGATCAAATCAGATTCCATCCTGGACCCAGTCCAGTTTCTGTCACGACTTCTGAACCCAGTTTAGATAAAAAATTTGCTCAAGCAAACTCAGATAGCTCAAAACACACATCCATGAAGCTTTGGAATCCAAGAGAGAACTTCCCACGAACCCCAGCTGCTCTGAGAGAGCAGAGGGCACAGTGGGCCCTGTGGGTCCTCCTTTGGTCAGTCAGAGCTCCTGGGGGCCTCTGGGAGCTCTACGCCAGATCCACTTCTGATGCCATCCGTTTAAAGAGAAAACTTGGCCGGGCACAGTGGCTCACGCCTGTAATCTCAGCACTTTGGGAGGCTGAGGCGGGAGGATCGCCTGAGCTCAGGAGTTCAAAACCAGCCTGGCCAACATGGTGAAATTCTGTCTCTACTAAAAATACAAAAATTAGCCAGGCATGGTGGCAGGCATCTGTAATCCCAGCTGCTCGGTAGGCTGAGGCAGGAGAATCACTTCAGCCGCGGAGGCGGAGGTTGTAGTGAGCAGAGAGAACACCCCTTTACTCCAGCCTGGGCAACAGAGCGAGACTCCATCTCTAAACAAATAAATAAATAAACAAACAAAAATAAGCCATGCGTAGTGGCACATGCCTGTAATCCCAGCTACTCGGGAGGCTGAGGTGGGAGAATCACTTGAACCCGGGAGGCGGGGGCTACAGTGAGCCGAGATCGTGCCCCTGCACCCCCGCCTGGGCCACAGTGGGAGACCCTGTCTCAAAATAAATAAATAAATAAATAAAAATAAAGAGAAGCCTTAGATAATTCAACAGAGTTTAATTGAGTAAAGACTCATTCACACATCAGGCAGCCATGTGGGGCTTGAATTTTCTTTGTGGGAGGATTTTTGCTGCTCTCTCAGTTTTTAAGAGAGAGTTATTTAGGTCAGTTGTTTCTTCTTGTGTGAGCTTTGGCATTTTCAGTTTTTCAAGAGACGTTATCTGTTTCATCTAACTTGTCAAATTAATTGGCATAAAGCTGTTCACCAATATTTTCTTCTTTTTTTTATTTTTATTTTTATTTTTTTAGACGGAGTTTCGCTCTTGTCACCCAGGCTGGAGTGCAGTGGTGCAATCTTGGCTCACTGCAGCCTCTGCCTCCTGGGTTCAAGTGGTTCTCCTGCCTCAGCCTCCTGAGTAGCTGGGATTACAGGCGCCCACCACCACCCCTGGCTAATTTTTGTATTTTTATTACAGATGAGGTCTCACTATGTTGGGCAGGCTAGTCTCCAACTCCTGATCTCAGGTGATCACCCACCTCGGCCTCCCAAAGTGCTGGGGTTACAGGCGTGAGCCACTGTGCCCGGCCTCTTTGTTCTTTGAATGTCTGCAGAATCTGTACTCATGCCACCTCTCTTGTTCCTGATATTGGTAATTTCTGTCCTTCTCCTCCTTTCCCTGGGCCCTCCCCCATCAAGTTGGTGAAAGGTTTATTGATATTCTTATCAGGATTATTGATATTCTTAAAGAACCAAGTTTCGGTTTTCTCAATTTTGTTCTATTATTTATTGTTTTCTGTTTTATCAGCTTCCACTTGATGTTTACCATTTCCTTTCTTCTGCCCACTTTGGATTGAATTTGCTTTTCTTTTTCTATTTTCCTTAAGCTGAGAGCGAGGTCATTGATTTGAGACTTTTCTTCTTTTGTTTTTCTTTTTGAGACCGAGTCTTGCTCTGTCGCCCAGGCTGGAGTGCAGCGGCGCGATCTCAGCTCACTGCAACCTCTGCCTTCTGGGTTCAAACGATTCTTGTGCCTCAGCCTCCTTAGTAGCTGGGATTATAGGTGTGTGCCACCACGCCTCACTAATTTTTGTATTTTTTGTAGAGATGGGGTTTCTACCAAATCCTGGTAGAAATGTTGCCCAGGGTGTTCTTGTCCTCCTGGGCTCAAGCAATCCTACCACTGCGGGCTCCCAAAGTGCTGGGATTACAGGTGTGAGCCACCATACCTGGCCAGTTAAACCATATTTCTTATTGGCAGTACATAGTTGGGCTTTGCTATTTTATCAATTAGACAACCTCTTGTTGGGGGTGTGCGGACAGGGTCTCACTGTTGCCCAGGCTCGAGTGTGTTGGTGCAATCACAGCTCATCGCAGCTTCGACCTCCAGGGCTCAAGGGATCCTCCTGCTTCAGCCTCACAAGTAGCTGTGACTACAGGCACATGCCACCACGCCCAGCTAAATTTTTTTTTTTGAAGAGATGCATTCTCCCTCTGTTGCCCAGGCTGGTCTTAAACTCCTGGACTCAGGGGATCCTCCTCTACCAGCCTCTAAAACTACTGGAATTACAGGCGTGAGCCACCATGCATGGCCCCTCTGCTTCTTAATTGGGGAGTTGAGCCCATTGATATTTAACGTGCTTACTGGTATGGTTAAGTTAGAGTCCGTCACCTTGTTACTTGCTTTCTATTTGTCGCATCTGTTCTTTTCTCCCCTTTACTCTTTTTTCTGCCTCCCATTGCGTTCGTGAGAAGTTTGATTCATCACGTCATCTTGTTCGTTGGCGTTTTCGCAGTAACTCTTTGTGTTGTTGTTTTAGGGGCGGCCGTAGGGTATTAGTGGTGAGCTTTAGCGTCCCGCAGTTGACTTTGAGTGACTGATATTTCCTCTTTTTTATGGGTCACCCTTTCCTGCTTCTGTGTCTTTTTGATAATTTTTTATCGGAATGCAGACATTGTAAACTTTAACTCGGGTGGGAGCTGGATCCTTTTATATTTCCACAAATATTCCTGAGCTTTGTTCTGGAATGTAGCTGTTTATCTGCAAGCAGTTTGATCCTTTCAAGTATTACTTTTACCATTTGTAAGGGAGGTCTGGAATAGTGTGGGCTAACTCTTCCCCACCATGGGGGCAAGCTGTTTCTGAGCACCCCACCGCTGTGCGTGATGGGGTTTTCTGCTGTGGCTGGTGGGAGCAGACACAATTCCTAGATCCATGCGAGCGCCCGGCACTGCCCAGCACTGGTCTCTCTAGTCCTTTCTGAGAGTGCTTTCCTGCCTTGGGACCTTTCCCCTGGCATGTGCTGATGGCTCCGTCCCTAATACTCCAGGGGACTCTCCAGTCTCAGCTTCTCTCTCTGGGCAGCTCTGTGAGCGTCATGAACTTCAGCTGCCTGGAGACCCCCAGCTCTGCCTCATCCGCTCAGGGACTCTGTGGCCTCCATCTCAACTCCCACTTCCTGCACTGAAGCTTGGAAACCCACCAGAAACTGCACAGGCAGCGAGAGGCCCCCAAGGCCAGTTCCCAGCGTGGGAAGCACATTTGTGCACCGCCCACGTGTGGGGTCTTGAGAGCCATTGTGTTGTGTGTTTTGTCTGTTCTGTGTTGGTTGTTTCATTGTGTTGTGTGTTTTGTCAGTTCTGTGTTGCTGTTTGGTTGTTTCATTGTCTTGTGTATTTTGTCTGTTCTGTGTTGCTGTTTGGTTGTTTCAGGCAGGAAGATAAATCCAGTCTCTGCTACCCCATCTCAGCCAGGAGTGGAAATCTGCCTTTTAATGTTGGTGGACATGTTTGGGTAGACAGAAACTTGACATGGTGAAGTAGTGAAATGGGCTGAGCTGCCCCTTTTTTCCATCGTGTTTCCACTGTTCTAAAGCCCGAAACATTGTTCCCCAGCGTGAAAGCAGATGAGTGTGCACCACGCATCTCTCTAGCTTATGTATTTATGTATTCAAGATGGAGTCTCGCTCTGTTGTCCAGGCTGGAGTGCAGTGGCGTGATCTTGGCTCACTGAAACCTCCGCCTCCGGGGTTCAAGTGATTCTCCTGCCTCAGCCTCCCCGGTAATTGGGATTACAGACGCCCGCCAGCATGCCCAGGTTATTTTTTTATATTTTTAGTAGAGACAGGGTTTTGCCATGTTGGCCAGGCACGTCTCGAACTCCTAACCTCAGGTGATCCAACCGCCTCGGCCTCCCAAAGTGCTTGGATAACAGGCGTGAGCCACCGTGCCCGGCCTCTGGCTTTATTTTTAACCTTTTTTTTTTTTTTTTCCACATGTCATGGCCTCTGTAATTCACCTGGACTGTATTTTGGCATTTGATGTGGAGAGCAAATCACACTAACCCAGTGCATACCTAATTTTCTTGACCTCTTTTATGAAATATCCCCCCAGCCTTCCTCGACCCTGCCACCCCGAGGTTCCCGTGCACACGTAATATTGCGGGATAGGTATTGTGGAATGAGGATCAGTGTTACAACCTACAGAAGATGTGGTCGTGAAGTCAGGAGTCACAGTCTCAGAGTTGACTGCACTGCCTTGTAGCTGTGTGACCTTCGGGATTTTGTTCAACCCCCTCTGAGCTTCGGTTTGCTCTCTGGGAAGACTCCAAGGATAAGAGCATCTACCTCCTCAGCCTGCTGTGAGAGTTACGGGGCCTGGGCCAAAGACGCTTTGTCCGACTGCTGGTCCGCAGGGAGCTCTAAATATGAATCTGCTACATCACCTTCACTTCTGAAATCTGCTCTGATGTTCCAAATGTTCTTGGCCGTTCCTCCGTGTTTCTCCTGTATGAATTTCAGCTTCTTTTTGCCAAGTATCTCCCCACCCCCGCCCACCCCCACCCCCAAATAAACTCACTAGAATGTTGGTTGAAAATCTGATAAGCCTACACATTGATTTGGAAAGAAATGATTTTTTGTAAGAGTCAAACTCCCTACCCATTTTTTTTCTTTTTTTGCAAAAGTTTTTTCTTACATTTGTCATTCAGGTTTGTCATTTTCTTGCTACAGACTCCAAACACTTTTCAAGAGGACCATCGCTAAGTACTTTATACTCTTGTTCGGGTTTTTTTAGAGTAAAAAGTGTTCAAATTCTACCTTATCTTCTAGCTGGTGGTGGTTGGAAAATAATTTTAAAAACGGATTTAAAATATGTATTTTGCATCTGGCCGCGTTCCTGAATTCTCTCATTCTTTCTGAAAACTCTTCCGCCGACTCTCTGGGGGCTCCTAGGAATGTGCTGTTTTGGCTCCTCCTTTCCAGAAGTTATACGTCTCATTTCCGCCTCACATCGCTGGCATTGTCCTTCGTTTCCAGACCAGGGTCGAACAGTAATGGTAAAAGCAGGCATCCTTCTTGGGTTCCTGTCTTGGACTGGAACGCCTTCGTGTTCCAACAGCAAGGGGAGATAAAGGAAGTGCTTATTTATAGTTTTCTATAGTTTCTTGAGCTTTCGTGTTGTTTTGCTTTCAGAGACAAGAATTGACTTTCAGCAAATGCCTTTCCCCCTATAGTTAACAATCAGGAACTATTTAAACTATGCCAGGAGGTGTAAATAAAGTTAGGAAGAGCCCCCATCTACCCAGCCCCCACTTAGCTTAAGAAAAACAACATGGCCGGGCACAGTGGCTCAAGCCTGTAATCCCAGCACTTTGGGAGGCTTGAGTCCAGGAGTTTGATACTAGCCTGGGCAACACAGTGAGTCTCTACAAAAAATACAGAAGTTGGGACCGGGCACGGTGGCTCACGCCTGTAATCCCAGCACTTTGGGAGGCCAAGGCGGGTGGATCACGAGGTCAGGAGATCGAGACCATCCTGGCCAACACAGTGAAACCCCGTCTCTACTAAAAATACAAAAATTAGCCGGGTGTGGTGGCAGGCGCCTGTAATCCCAGCTACTCAGGAGACTGAGGCAGGAGAATCGCTTGAACCCAGGAGTCAGAGGTTGCAGTGAGCCGAGATTGCCGCTGCACTCCAGCCTGGCGACAGAACGAGACTCCGTCTCAAAAACAAAAACGGAAACAAAAAAGTTAGCCAGGCATGGTGGTGTGTACCTGTAGTTCCAGCTAGTCAGGAGGCTGAAATGGGAGGATCACCTGAGCCTGGGAGGTTGAGGCTGCAGTCAGCCGTGAGGGTGTGAGTGACTGCACTCCAGCCTGGGCAACACAGTGAGACCCTATCTAAAAAAAGAAGGAGGAGAAGGAGAAGGAGGAGAAGGAGAAGAAGGAGAAGGAGAAGGAGAAGGAGAAGGAGAAATACAACATGATGACTTCATCTGAGTTGAGTGCTCTGTGCAGCTCCTTTGCGATGGAATCCCCTCTGCTGGCCGGGACCTTTCATCATAAGTGTGTATTCTCTATATCCAGGTGCATGTGATATTTTAAAATATAAAAATATTGTTTAAATGTCATGTAAGTAGCATGAGTTTTCCTTTTGCAACTGTTTCACCGCCACCCCAGTGTGGTTGCTGTGTCCGGGACTCGCCATTGGTGGCTCACAGCCGCAGGTCAGTTTTAATCGTGTAGAACCCATCTATGAATACACCACAGTGTACCTGTCTATTCTCTTCTTGGTGAATGTGTGGAGGTTTTCTGATTCTTTGCAGTGACCAACAGCAATCTGTACCCAGCAGTGCAAATGCCGGACTGAGGGATGCACCCTGTACGCTGGCCGAGATGTCATTGGGTGCCATTGTGGTGTTTTTTGTTTTGAGACGGAGTCTCGCTCTGTTGCCCGGGCTGGAGTGCAGTGGTGCGATTTTGGCTCACTGCAACCTCTGCCTCCCAGGTTCAAGGGATTCTCCTGCCACAGCTTCCCAAGTAGCTGGGATTACAGGCGCCCACCACCATGTCCAGCTAAGTTTTGTAGTTTTAGTAGAGACAGGGTTTCACCATGTTGGCCAGGCTGGTCTCAAATTCCTGACCACATGATCCACCCACCTTGGCCTTCCAAAGTGTTGGGATTACAGGAGTGAGCCACCATGCCTGGCTGTTGTTCTCTATTTTCAAGACACCCTTTTAACTTTATAAGTAATCAGTCAGGTGGTTCTTTGAAACTGAACATACTGGCCCCCGTTAACTTTCACGTTTGACTTGGGCATCCAGTGATAATCCTTGTCTCAATCAGTGATCCCATCAGTGGTTGCAAAACAGTGCATTCTTAATGCTGTTGTTTCACCTCCATTGAGCTGGTGTTCTGCAAAAATGAACTTTTCCTTCTCCAGACTGATGTTTATATTTTGTTCATCCACTTTGCAGTTTTAATTTAGTTTCCCCTTTCATGCGTGTGCTGACAATTCAGCTTCGCTTCTCTGCCAGCTACCTGTTACCACCTCTCGCCCATTTTTCTATTCAATTGCTTGCCTTTTTTCTAATGGTGTCCTACCTTCTTTTTAGATAGTGAAAACTAATCCTTGATCAGTGATACGTGTTACAAACACCTCCCAAGAGATGGCTTGGTTTTTTTTGGCTTGGTTTATGGTGTCTTTTGATGAAGAGAAGTTCACTTATTAAAGACCTTAGTTTTTTCTTGTTGAATTTACCAATCTCTTTATTCTTTGGTTTGTGGTTTTTATATCTTGTTGAACATATATTCCTAGCTGGGTGTGGTGGCTCACGCCTGTAATCCCAGCACTTTGGGAGGCCGAAGAGGGTGGATCACCTGAGGTCAGGAGTTCAAGACCAACCCGGCTGATGTGGTGAAACCCTGTCTCTACAAAAAATACAAAGATTAGCCAGGTGTGCTGGCAGGAGCTTGTAATCCCAGCTACTAAGGAGGCTGAGGCAGGAGAATCGCTTGAACCTGGGGAACAGAGGTTGCAGTGAGCCGAGATTGTGCCACTTCACCCCAGTCTGGGTGACAGAGTGAGACTCTGTATCAAAAAATAAAATAAAATAATAAGTGGCACGATCTCAGCTCACTGTAGCCTCCGCCTCCCAGGTTCAGTTGATTCTCCTACTTCAGCTTCCCGAGTAGCTGGGATCACAGGCACCCGCCACTATGCCTGGCTAATTTTTTTGTATTTTTTGGTAGAGATGGGATTTCACCACGTTGGCCAGGCTGGTCATGAACTCCTGACCTCAAGTGATTCGCCTGCCTCGGCCTCCCAACATGCTGGGATTACAGGCGTGAGCCACTGTGCCCGGACCTGTCTTCTGTTCTTAGTTGACCAGAATGTCTGTCTATGAGTGATGGTATATTTTATCCAAATTATTTTTTAGTCTTTACATTCTTTATGTGTTGTAAACATGAATCACTACGTCATTCAGTTTTCTGATGTAAAACTATTATCACATTAAAAGAACTCTCAAGGCCGGGAATGGTGGTTCTCACCTATAATCCCAGCACTTTGGGAGGCCGAGCTGGGAGGATCACTTGAGGCCAGGAGTTTGAGACCAGCCTGGGCAACATAGTGAGACCCCATCTCTAAAAAAAAAAAACCAGGTGTGCTGGTACGTAGCTGTGGTCCCAGCTATGTGAGAGGGTGAGGTGTGGGAAATCGCTTGAGCCCAGGAGTTTGAGGCTGCAGTGAGCCAGGATCTCACCACTGCACTCTGGCCTGGGTGACGAAGTGAGACTTCATCTCTTTAAAAAGGTAAAACTAAAAAAATAATAATAAAGGACCCCCTTGGTCATAATGTAATTTAAAAAATTCATACTGTTTTTTGCTTGGTAGGAGATTTAACTACTGGTTCAATGTCTTTTTTTGTCTTTGCATCCCTGATTCGGAATGCAAGATCCAATGTCTTTAAAATGAATTAGTCTATGCAGGGTTTGAACTTCACTTGGAGTCCATTCCATGTTATATTTCTCCTGGGAGTGGGCTGTTTTCCTCAGTTTTTAAATTGTCATAAAGTTGTTTATGGAATTCTTTCACCACAATGTCATCTCTGCAGCCTTTGTCATGGCGTTCCTCTTTTCGTCGACGTGGCTTATTTGTGTCTCTTCCTCTTTCTGCTAATTTTGTTGCCAGATGTTAGACTATTTATTAGTTTTTTCACAGAAACAATTTTAAAATTATTTATTTATTTTCGAGCCAGAGTCTCACTCTGTCACCCAGGCTGGAGTGCAGCGGCGAGATCACGGCTCACCGCAACCTCCGCCTCCTGGGTTCAAGCGATGCTCTCACCTCAGCTTCCCAAGGAGCTGGGATTACAGGCACCCACCACCGCACCTGGCTAATTTGTTTTTATTTTTTGTAGAGACAGGTTTTCACCATGTTGCCCAGGCTGATCTGGAACTCCTGGGCTCAAGTGATCTGCCGTCCTCGGCCTCCCAAAGTGCTGGGATTGCAGGCGTGAGCCACTGCACCCGGCCCACACAGCAGCGATGTTTAATTTGGTTGATCTTCATCAATTTTTATTTTTCATTCTGTTAACCTCTTACACTTCTTAATTATTTCCATTCTTCTCTTTCCCTTGGTTTTAGTGTTTTGTTCATCTCCTAATTTCATAAATTAGATGCATACTTATTAATACTTTCCCCTCTCTATTTTTTTGTTCGAGGGTAATCCATACTTTGTTTTCTTTGTTTTTTAGTCTTCCCCCTTTCTGATGTAAGCATCCAGGCCCCCCGTGTCCCTCTGTCTTGTTTTAGCTGCACCCAGGGCTTTGCTCTGGGTTCTCCCATTCTCCTTCAATTCCAGCCTCGCCCACTCTCTCTGACCACGTCCTCCCTGATCCCTGCGCGATTCAGGTGTGTTTTTACTTCCTCACCCTTGCTGAAAGGGCCGCCTTCCACTTAGTTGGGTTCTGACTTGGCTGCAGAGGGCAGACAGTTGGCTGGGGCATTCTTGTGTCCGTGGCCAGCTTTGGTCACTGTCTCCCACGCGTCCTCTGGTTTGGAGGCTCTGCTTCTGTCCCTGTCTGTTCCACCAAGCCAAGTCATTTCGTTCCAGTCCCAGACACCTCACCCTGTGCTCTGCGGTGAGCATGAGCTGCGTTGCGCACTGGGATCACGGACTCCTTTTCCCTTGTGATGCTGCCACGGGCTCCCACCGCACTCCCAGTCCCAATTGTGGAACACGTGGGGGACGGAGCCACTGCCCATGGGTGGTGACCACCTCTGTCCCCAGCATAGCTGCTTGCCTCCTGTTCATTTGGTGCTCCTTGGGGGCCTTTCAGAACCAGGCAGCACAGCAAGACTGGCGACATCCAACCAGCAGATTTCACCTGGGGGTACCCCGGTTCCCACCTTGGCATTACCCAGTGAACACGCCTCGTCAGGCACGGTGTGGCTGAGACTCCCGCGTGCAGGCCTGCTGTGCGGGTGCAGGCTGACGGTGCACATTGGTGTGTGTTGTGGGGTCACACACCTGGGATGATGTTGCTGTGTGTGTGTCTGTGTGTGTTGTGTGTGGGGTCACACACCTGGAATGTTTCTGTGTGTGTGTGTTGTGGGCGGGGGTGATATTTCTGTGTGGTGTGTTGTGGGGGGGGGTGATGTTTTTGTGTATGTGTGTGTGTGTTGTGGGAGTTGATGTTTGTGTGTGTGTGTTGTGGGGGGTGATGTTTCTGTGTGTGTGTGTGTTGTGGGGGGTGATGTGTGTGTGTGTTGTGGGGAGGTGTTTGTGTAAGGGAGGTGATGTGTGTGTGTATTGTGGGGGAGTGATTTTTTGTGTGTGTGTGTTGGGGTGTTTGTGTGTGTGTGTGTTGGGGGTGATGTGTGTGTGTGTTGTGGGGGTGATT